TTTTATCTCATAATATTACACCACACGACGTGTTATGGATCTCTAAGTCTCTCATAAACAGATGAAGCCTTGTTACAGCAGCAGTTTAAGTTCAATAGAGATACCTAACATAATCACAATATGCATCGGAGTCTGCCAAATGCTCTAAGGTTACAATGCTTTTCTCATGTGAGCTCTTTCAGAAGCTACACACTTCCTGTAAATTAATTATTATCCCTAGTCACAATCTCATTTTGGTCATGTTAAAGAAGTTATAGAAAGAAACTGTTCTGGATTTCATTTCTTCTCTTGCTATGCTAAAAAGAAAATCAGTGTTTGTATTAACTGTGCCTTTAGAGTATCACTGCATATCTCCATCCTTCTTACCGTTCTCTAAGTTCACTGATAAGATCCAGTTTTTTCATGACTACTTGAAGTGGAAAGAGTTCTTCATCTTTAAATGTTTTCTATCAGGGAGGAGAAAACAAGGCAGAGAAGTTGCAATCTAAGTAAAGACAGGTTTCTTGGGTCAATAGCAAAGGAACTATGAAATCTCGTACCTCATTTTTATTCCATAAATAACAGCAATTCACTTACCAGTTGTGTGCCAACACTTAGTGCTAAAGAAACAATAAGTCGTCGTTGCTTAGTGCTTGGTCCATTTAGAGTGTTTTCAGCCAAAACTAGGGCAGAGAGCACATCAAGACGCTGTTCGCTATATTTTTTGTCAGAAATTACTCTTTTCTTAAAAGAAAAAACAGAAAAGTATTAGTTTTGCTTCTGAGACAATTACAGAAGACTTACGAGAAAAACTTCTTGATTACCATTTCCATGATTCAATTGAAGAGAGCATACACAAGTACTTTCCCTGTTGAACTTCTGATTTTTTTTTTTTTTTAAGAGACCAGCAGAGTCTCACTCTGTATCACCCAGGCTGGAGTGCAGTAGCACAATCACAGCTCGCTTAACCTCAAACTTCTGGGCTCAAGCAATCCTCCTGTCTCAGTCTTCCAAGAAGGTAGAACTACAAGGGCACACCACCATGCCTGGCTAATTTTTAAAATTTTTTATAGAGATGGGGGTCTCACTACGTTGCTCAGGCTGACCTTAAACTCCTGGCTTCAAGTGATGCTCCCACCCTGGCCTTCCAAAGTATTGTGATTACAGGCATAAGCCACCATGCCAGCCTGGATAATGTTTTATACTTCATTCTCTAACATTATGTCTTAGCACTGTCGGGAACAACAAATGTATTAAGCATACTTTAAAATTTCCATATTAATTTAACAACATATCATTTCCAAAAAAAGTGATGTATCAATTTCAACAGCACAAACAATGTAATTTTTAAAAGAGATGTATTAATGTATTATATGCTACAATTTCAAAGTAAAGATAACTGATAACAATAAATTAAAAACCATAAATATCATGGAGAGAAATGACCAAGAATATTATGTTTGAAGGAATGGCGTAAACAGGCTAAACTAGAAAACACATCTAAAACAACATAAGAACAAACAAAAAAGCCAGCATAATTATGCAGAATACATAATAATTCATATACCTTGGCCACAGAAATAGAATTAAGAGCCTGATGTTGAAGGTGCTGTGTTATATGTGAAACTGAATCAGCCACAACCATGCTTCTCCTGTAGAACATGTGCTCTATAGCCTAAAAAAAAAATCAGAAGCAATTTTGGGAAAATCAACTTAAAACTTGTAGGCAAAATTATAGAAGAATATCTTTATGACCTGGGGCTAGGGAATGAATTTGTAAATGAGACACAAAAATATTTTATGCCATAAAGGATAAGACTGATACATTCAACTATATTAAAATTAAGAACCTCTGTTCATCAAAAGTCACTATAAAGAATATAAGAAGGTTAATGTATCAAAAATATCTGCCACATACGAGCCAATTAGTGTTCAGGATATAAGCAGCTCCCAAATGAAGGAAAGATTTTTTTTTTTTAAGGAACACAATCCAATAGAAAACTAAGAAGACATGAGCAGGTTTTATACACACACACACACACACACACACACACACACACACACACACACACACGGAATTCATAAATAATTGAAAAGATATTTATCATCATTAACAATCACACATTAAACATTAAAAATTATAATCAGGGCAACTCCCTCAAGTCCCCTCCTGCTCTAGGAGCTTTTCTGTCCTCTCAATAAATCTTGCTTTAAAAAAAAATTATAATCAAAAACGATTATACCCTCTAACTTAAAAAAAAAAAAAAAAAAGATTGAAGTCCGATAATATCAGTGTTGACCAGCTAGGGAACAATGGGGAAGTCTAATACAATGTAGGAGACATAAAAAATGATATTAAAAACTATTTTGTATAAACAGTTTGACATCATCTTGAAAAGTTGAACACATGCATAACGCATGACCCAGTAACCCACTTGTAGGTATATACTTTCTTAGAAAACCTCTTGTACGAGTATACCAAGAAACACATATACAAGAGCGACAGCACTGTTTATAATAGCAAAAAATCAAACACAAGTCCATCTATAAGAAAGCTATGCAGCAATGAAAATGAATGTGCTACAGCTACTCATCCCAACGTGGATACATTAAAAAAAAATGCTGAGTAAAAAATAAAATGTTGACTAAAAGAGCAAGTCAAAGAATACATAACTTCAAAAACATATACAACAATTGAATGTTTTATAGACTTATTCATATGTGGTAAGCTAAAAAGAAAAACAAGGGAATGATGACCATAAAATTCAGGAGAGTAGTTTCCTCTGAGGTGGGCAGGTTAAGATGCAATTAGGAGAAACACACAGGGGCACTTTGAAAATACTGGTCCCAGGCCGGTCCCAGTGGCTCAAGCCTATAATCCCAGCACTTTGGGAGACTGAGGCGAAAGGACTGCCTGAGCCTTGGGCAGCATGGTGAGACCTCGTCTCTACAATAAATCAAAAAATTAGCTGGGCTACCATGGTAGCAGGCACCTGTAGTTCCAGCTACTTGGAAGGCTGAGGTGGAAGGAACACCTGAGCCCAGCAGGTCGAGGCTGTGGTAGCCATGAGCATGTCACTGTACTCCAGCCTGGGCGATGGAGTGAGACTCTGACTCAGAAAAGAAAATATTGGTTCCATTTTACTTCTTAAATGGGATAGTGACTATTTATTTTTTTTCCCCTAAACTATGCTCATATATATGTATCTATAAGCATACAAATACACATATGTATATACATCTGTATTTACATTTCCTTTAGAAAATGTAACTGATAAATAATGTATTTGTAACAAATAATATGACTTAAAGAAAAAAGGCTAAGAATGCAAAGGCACAATCTCAAAAAAAAAAAAAGTCAGTCGGGCTCGGTGGCTCAGCCTGTAATCCCGCGCCTTTGGGAGGCTGAGGTGAGTGGATTGCCTGAGCCTGCGGGTTCAAGCCCCACCTGGGCAGCGAGACCTCATCTCTACAATAAAAAATCAAAAAATCAGCCAGGTGTGGTAGCGCATGCCTGTAATTCCAGCTACTCGGAAGGCTGAGGTGGAAGGATCGCTGGAGCCCAGCAGGCGAGGCTGCGGTGGCCGGGAGTGGCCACTGCACTCCAGTCTGGGCGACCAAGTGAGACTCCAACTCAAAAAAACAAACCAAAAAAAAAGTCTTTACTTCCTGAAGAAATGTCAGATCAATTATTAGGAGAAATTTATCAACAAATCTTAATTTCAATTTTCATAAAAGGTTAACAGGGCTCCCCTGCTCACAAGGAGTTTTTTTCTAGTTGTACAAGTATGCTAAGAAATATTTTTACTACATTTGCCTAAACGTACTATGATTCTTAATTCATTTGACTATCTCCAAGTAGCCTACTGTTCAAATCACAAGATTATAGCACTTACTCTAAATTACAAATGTCACATTAACTAACCTCATATGCATGTGAACACTATAAAATAATAGATGTCAGATGAGTACATTTTAAAATTCATGAAACACATTTCTAAAACTTCCATAAGTAAAGCTTTCTAGTAATACAGAAGCTAACTTTCCTATTTTCTTTTTCTCTCACTATATTAACTTTTTTTTTTTTTACTAAGTCGAAACTAGACAAATACATTAACTTTATTTAATAAAGTTTAAATATGTTGGCCATTCACAAGTAGTTATTCAGAAATTTCTTTCAATGGCTAGTTCCTTTATTCAACTGAGAAATGAGTATTTTCTCATAACATTTTTGTTCTCAAATAATCAAGTCAAATCTTGTAAGACCACCTTAATTTAAGTCTGAGTCATTTCTCAACTATGATGGCAAGGTAAATAATCTAAAACTTACCTTGAGAAGTTCAACAAGCCTGCACAATGCCTTAACTGAGGTCTTTGTCATTGGCTTTTGCATAGACATGTAAAGGTTCATTGTGGTTTTAATAATCGTACTAATACTATATGCATACAAGAAGCCCTGTAAAAGAAAATAAAACATTGATTATAACCACAAGGAAAAATTTTATTTAAGATTTCATTCTTTATATAACCATTATTCCTCAACTTGCCAATAACTAATGTTTATAAAGCCAGCTCTTAAGATTCCAAGATACTCTTCCTCAGAGAAACAATGTTATACATAGGGATTACATTTCAAAGCAGCCCTTGGAAGTTTATTTACCCTATCACATAGCAGAGGTTAGTAATGCAGAAATTATAGTGTATAATCAGTTTAGAAATCTTTCCATAAAAAAAAAAGCCCTTCAGCAAAACAATTCGGATGTCAGAAAGGTATCTACTCATCCTTCTCTTACCTGCCAGGTAACTGAAAAATTAGGAGGAAAAAAGTTGCTCTCTGGCAGTACAGATATGCAACGGAATTTCTGAGTCCCAAGTTGATTCCCCCTTTCCTCTTCACCTAGACCAATCCCCATAGTACATCTGTTATCTCATTTTTGCCTCGTCTGGTGTTAGGTAGGCTTTCTGTCTTCCCAGACCAATGAGATCAGATTCTCTCCTCCCCTTTTATTCATGAAGGAAACACGGGTCTTGTGAGGTTTTAAAAAAATTTTTTAATGCTATTAAACTCAGGGAGGCAGAGTGGAATAACAAAATAGGGAAAAAGAATATTACTTTCTCAAATATTTTTTCATTTAGGCCCAAAAGAGACATATGGAAACATAATGATAGTGATTCTCCAGGTCTATACAGGTCTCCAAAGCTTTGATGAACCTAAAACTATATGGTGGATCCATTCAAGAAGGTGGGGCAGAAGCTATAGGCCAATGTTCCTCAACTTCTTCCTCCTTCCCCAGCACATATGAGAGGGAACGTACTCTCCCATCAGTAACAGGGGCTCACTAAAAGAGGGATACTCAACACGGGGTGGGAGGTAGGAGTTCCTCTGAACCACACACAGTTTCTCCATGGTGTAGAGACGTGTGTGCTAAATCAAAAAAATTAAAAATGAAAGAGAAGGTAGCATCCTATGAGAGGTGACAGTACGACCAAAGCTTGGGGCAAACATACAGAAAGAGCCACAAATCTTGTCTTGTCAACTACAGGACTCTGTCCTAGTGCAGCCCCTGGGAATGTTAAAAAGCACAAACAAGGAACAGCAAAAATCTACTCTAAGTGAGGCAGAAAAGGGAGGCTTCCCTTTGTAAGGGGACTTGAAAGTACAGAATCCCCAGCCCCAGATGGTCGTTAATTTTTACAAGATATACATAAAGTATGCATTTTGAAATCTGCATTGGGAGTAGGGAGTGTGTATCTGTTAATGACAGAATAAATAATATGAATCAAGCCGGGCTCGGTAGCTCAGCCTGTAATCCCGCGCTTTGGGAGGCTGAGGTGAGTGGACTGCCTGAGCCCATGGGTTCGAGACCCGCCTGGGCAACTTGGCGAGAGCTCATCTCTACAATAAATCAAAAATTAGCTGGGTGTGGTAGCACGCGCCTGTAGTTCCAGCTACTTGGAAGGCTGAGGCAAAGAATCGCCGGAGCCCAGCAGGTCGAGGCTGCGGTGGCCGGGAGCAGCCACTGCACTCCAGTCTGGGTAACGGAGTGAGACTCCAACTCAAAAAAAAAGAAGAAAATCCAAATATATACTTCAACAATACCACACAAAGAAGGAGGATAAAGACAGGAGTTCATGGGCCATCAAGGAAGTGGTTCTGGTAAACCACCTAGGCTCCGGGTTGGTATCCTTAAGGATTACCCCTAAAAAAGTAAGGGTGAATTGGACTTCAGTTCATCACAGGACTGAAGTGCTGCTTCAGATTATCAGTCTATGACTGAGTTGATGTAATCTGGGTTGCTAATTGTCCTAGACTAGCTGTGTAACAAAAGCAAATATAAATTCCCTCTGGAAAAAGAAAATAATATTCAGTCTCAAACTATATGCATTTTTTCATGTATAATGTGTGGCACTCTATAATAAACAACCAGGCATACAAAGAGATAAAAGATAAAACAAGAGAAACAACAGATAAGAGAAATATTCAAATAACAAAATTATTAGACATGTGCTTCAAAATAATTATGCTGAATATGTTAAAGGAAATAAAACACAAAATTGTTTCAGAAGAGAACTGGAAACTATAAAAAAAGAAACCAAGTGAACAGTAAAATAATTAAGAACTCAGTAGATGGATTTAAAAGCAGGTTAGACAAAGATGAAGAGAGAATTAAAACAGAGAGACAAAACAAAAGCAATGCTTCAAGAGTTAATGGCTAAGAATTGTCTATGAATTGAAAAAGCTCTACAAATTCCCAAGCAGCACAAACACAAAAAAACCACACCTAGCAGCATTATAATAACATTGCTAAAAACCAAAAAGTAAATCTTATAATTTAAGACATACATATTACATATAAAAAGCAACAAATCAACAGCCGACTCCTTAACAAAAAACAAAGGAAGCCAGAAAACAATGACACCCTTAAAAGCCAGAGAAAAAAGCCCTGCCAATCTCGAAATCTAACACAGCAAAACTGTTAAAAGAAAGACACATTCAGATAAAACCTGTGATGATTCATCAACAGAGGTTCATATTAATTAAATACTAGCAGGTATCCCACAAGTAGAAAGATGAAAGTTCACAAATGCAGGAAGGATAAAAAGCAACCAAATAGGCTTATGTGAGTAAATCTAAATGAACACTGACTATAAAAACAACAGCAATAACAATATCTTGTGCAGTTAAAAATATTCAGAGACTCAAAGCACACAAGCAGCACAAAAGGTAAGAGAGAGATAAACAGAATTAAAATAGCTTAAGAACCTTACACTGCCTGCAAAGTGGTAAAGCTACTACTTTATATTGGAGTTAAATGAGACATCTTAAAATTTCTAAAGTAATCACTAAAAGAACGGTAAAATAAGTCAGAATTAAACAGAGGGAGAGAAATTAAATAACAAAAATAATCTAAAAGAGAGTAAAAAGCAAAAGAAGAGAGAGACATAGAACATAAAGCAACTAGTCAGGTGGTAGTTTCAAAACTAATATTATCAGTAAAGACATACAAAAAAATAGTACAATGAAAAAACAAAGATTATCAGATTGGGGAAAAGTATATGCTGCTTACAGAGAACATATATTAAATATAGGGTGCCAGAAAGGCTGCAAGTAAAAGGATCAAAAAAGAGATTCCATGCAGACATCAAATAAAAGAAAACTGCTACAAAGAGACTGACAAACACCATTACTGGATATAAAAAGGAGTATTTCTTAATGATAAAATGTTCAATTCACTAGGAAGAGTTAACAATTCTAAATGTTATGTATTTAGCCTCAAAATATATAAATTATAAACTGACAGGATTACAAAGACAAACAGACAAATCCACAATAATGAAATATTATAACATAACTCTCTCAGTAATATAGAATACACAGGGGAAATCATTAACAAATGTGACCCTCTTGTTATATACAAAATACTACAGCTGACAAATGAAAACTATACATTATTTTCAAGTATATATGAAATATTTACCAAAGCTGACCATAAGCTAAGCCACAAAGCAAATTCAAAATATTGAAATTACTTTATTATTGTACAATCATAAAAAGACAACTAGGAAGTCTTCTTGTATTTGGAAATTAAGAAGTTATCTTTCAAAAAAAGCCCCACAGATCAAAGAAATTACAATAAAAATTTTTAAATATTTAAAAATAAATAATTATAAAACTATAACATATGAAAACTTATGGAATACAACTAAACAGTCATGCTTTGAAGGGAATGTAGAGCTTTAAAATGGGTGTGTTAAAAAAACTAAATTAGCCGGGTTCGGTGGCTCAGTCTGTAATTCCGCACTTTGGGAGGCTGAGGTGAGTGAATTGCCTGAGCCCGTGGGTTCAAGACCCGCCTGGACAACTTGGTGAGACCTCATCTCTACAATAAATCAAAATGAGCCGGGCATGGTAGTGCGCGCTTGTAGTTCCGGCTACTTGGAAGGCTGAGGCGGAAGGATCGCTGGAGCCCAGCAGGTCGAGGCTGCGGTGGCCGGGAGCGGCCACTGCACTCCAGTCTGGGCGACCAAGTGAGACGCCAACTCAAAAAAAAAAAAAAAAAAAAATCTAAATTAAATCACACAGATCCAAAGATAAACAAATCAATTTGCTTTTAAAAACAAAAGCATATCCTATCCTTTCCCAGTTTTTCTTAAGCATAACTTCTATAAACTGGATTAACAAAGAAATGACCACCCAAAATATAGTAAGACGAAACTACCTGTATAAAAACATTACATCTGTTGGTGAGGTCTTCAGCAAACTTATCCATTCTCTGCTCTTTAGACAAAATAGATTCCATTTTCATCATCCATGAGCTCACAAAGACATAGTAAGACTGTACATCTCTAACAAAGGAAAATATTGGGGTTACTCAGCACAGAAAGAAAATTTACTTCCATGTCTTCATATTGACTGCAGCAAAATATTTTCTTGCAGCAGCCATTTCACCTTTCTGGTTTGCAAAAGATAAATATAATATATACATATATAATTGACTCATTCAACTATTATGTAATGAGTGCCTATACAGGCCAGGTACTACTTCTCAGTATAGATATCGAGAACGAAACAGTGAAACCAGCAGTAAACAAAATAGACACAAACCCCTGCCTCCATGAAGGTTGCATTCTTGACAGGAAAGCTGTAGAATACATCAATAATTGAAATCTTAAAATAATTAGCAGATGCCAGATGATACACACCACAAAAGGGGGGAAAAGGCAAGGAAAAGGATAAGGACTGAGGCAGAGGGACAATTTTATAGAGAGTGATCAAAGTAGACTTACTGCATAGAAGGTTTGAAAAAGATGAATGAGTGATTCATGTAAATATAAGAAGAGAACTACAGGAAAGTGAATTAACCAATGCAAACATCCTAAGATATTTGGAAATGTGTCTGGCATGTCCAAGCCATAACAAAGTATGACGGGAGCACAGCGAGCAAGGATAAGAACAGAAAAAGAGATCACGGAGGAACAGGGGGGAGGAGTTGAGGGACTAGGAAAGGTGAGGAGAAGGGAAGGGATTTGTGGAAGGCCTTGGAAGGCCTTGGAAGGCGCGGAGACACCAGCTCTGAGTGACAAGGGAAGCCACTAGAGGGTCTGAGCATAGTGACCTATCTAACTTTAAGAGGATCTGACTAGTTGAAAACAAACAATAGCAAGGACAGTGTGGTAAAAGCAGGAAAACCAGCTAGGAAGCTACCGCAATAATGCAGAAGAAAGGATGACAGCCTGAATCAGAACAGGAACAAGGGAAGTGGAGAGACACGGGACATCAAAGCTGACAAGTATTGAATGCTAATAATTATACAGCAGTCTCTGTTTCAAGCACTTCACACACGAAGACACACACACCACTTCATTAAAGCCTTACATTAGCCTTTTGAGGCAGGAACTATGATCCCCATACAGAAGAGAAAACTGCCACATAGAGTTAAGCAGGTGCCAAGATCATACAACTAGTAAGCAGCTGAGCCAAGATTCAAACCCAAATCTAGGAAGCTTTCCCACCCGAGAAAGACTCAATCAATTACAAATGAAATTCTCCCTACTATTCAGGATGACTGCAAACATTAAATCACTCCATTAGGGAATCCCAACTCAATCTCAATCAAATTGGGAACTTTCAACATCCACAAGCTGTTTAAACTATATTTTTTCTTTAAAAAACTGAGTATGCAAAAAATGGACAATTTTCCTTTATGAAATCTGATATTACCTACTATTTCAAAAAACCATGCCTGAGCCCACGGTTTCAAGACCCATCTGGGCAGCGAGACCTCATCTCTACAATAAATCAAAAAATCAGCCGGGCGTGGTAGCGCATGCCTGTAATTCCGGCTACTTGGAAGCCTGAAACGGAAGGATTGCCGGAGCCCAGCAGGTTGAGGCTGCGGTGGCCAGGAGCGGCCACTGCACTCCAGTCTGGGTGACAGAGTGAGACTCCAACTCAAAAAATAAAACAAAATAAAATAAAATAAAATAAACAAAAACCCATCTTCAGTTAGATAGAATTGATGGTCAGAATCAACTAGAAGATAGCTCTTCAGGGCAAGTGACTGAAGATATTCATTTGATTAAGCTTAGAAGTTGAGGTTGATAACAAGCCATATTGCCGGGCAATCTGTCAATCTCAAGAACTCAGTCTGGACTGGACATGGTGGCTCAAGCCTATAATCTCAGCACTTTGAGAGGCCAAGGTGAGAGGACTGCTTGAGCCCAGGAGTTCAAGACCAGGCTGGGCAACATAGTGAGATCTCGTCTCTACAAAAAATTTAAAAATTAACTGGGCATGGTGACACATGCCTTTAGTCCCAGCTATTAGAGAAGGTCAAGGGGGGAAGGACTGCCTGAACCCAGGAGGTCGAGGCTGTGGTAAACAATGATCATGCCACTGCGCTCCAGCCTGGGCCACAGAAGAACCTGACTTGAAAAAAAAAAAAAAGAACTCAGTCTAAAGAGGAATAATGTCAAAATTCTAATAAAATGTGATTTCGAGAGGTGAAACCCTAGCACAAAATCTGAGCAAAATGGTTTCTACAGAGTCATAATTCCATTAGACAAAAGACACAAGAAGTCAGACTTTTGGTTTTGCTTTGAATGGTGCTGAAATCTATTATATGACTTGTGGATGATTCCCTTTAAAAGTCTAGAACAGCCGGGCTTGGTGGCTCAGGCTATAATCCCGCGCCTTTGGAAGGCTGAGGTGAGTAGATTCGCCTGAGCCCGTGGATTCGAGACCCGCCTGGGCAGCAAGACCTCATCTCTACAATAAATCAAAAAATCAGCCAGGCGTGGTAGCACGTGCCTATAATTCCGGCTACTTGGAAGGCTGAGGCGGAAGGATCGTCAGAGCCCAGCAGGTGGAGGCTGTGGTGGCCGGGAGCGGCCACTGCACTCCAGTCTGGGCAACAGAGTGAGACTCTAACTCAAAAAATAAAAATAAAAAAAAAATTCTAGAACACAGAGCAAAGTCCTGGAGCAACAACTCTATTTTTGAGAAGGCTGTGATCAGCAAGGATACAATGAACGGGAGGAAACAGAAAAGTCATGAGCAAGGAGAAGAGAAAGAGATCAAGGCTATGGAATGCTCTCTGATAGTAACTATGTCAATAACATCATCAAGAAGGCAACAGAACTTTAGTAAAGAGCATTCAGTCAGCTTTAGGTCAGACTACAGGCTAAAGCAGAGATTTATCTGTCACTTCCATGCATCACTCTGTGACCACATCCAGATTTCAGATTATCTTTATCTTATAAATACATAAGAAATTGCTTCAAGTTTTAAGCAGCAAGTTAATCTACAATGCAAAACAGGCCAAGGGTCTTATCAAATTGTCAGCTTCATTTCAAAGTCCAAACAGGATAAATACCTCAGTAAGAGAACAAATCTCCTGCTCCAATATAAGTCATGAAACAATGTCAACACCTGTATGTCAACCTGGGGGTCTAAAACAAAGATTCACACCTTTATCCCCTAAAGGCAGTGTTTTTCATGTTCAAAGCAAAACACAGCAATCCATAAACCTTGGGCTTCAGTCAAGGCAGTTGGGACAATGGCCACTTGGGGTCTAATGTACAATGTGGGGGCAGGAAAACTGTCCCCCACTGCACCCTGTTCACTTACATAAACTCTGGAGCTTGACCTTGAGACGGCTCTTAGTCCCCCCTCAACTCAAAATGTTAGGACAAGGCTCATGCTGGGCACAACATTACTCTCTCCAGAGTTTCACTTAGTGGGGTGGATTTTAAGTTTCTTTTGACAGAAATGTAAGGAGAATGAAAAAGATAACTGTCCTCTCCAGACAAGATAGAACACTAAACTAATTATATAAAGGTATATCTTTGGAGTCAAATAATTTAGAAATGAAATTTTATGTGAGAGGTCTTTTCAATCTCTCACCTAGTAAGACTCACTTCCCATGGCTTCTTCGATGGTCATCATCTGTATTCTGCCTATACGGATCTAGAGAAGGAGACTGCATTGCCTCCCAGCAGCCTACACAACTCAACTTGTGGCTGAGGTTCTACAAGAGGACTGGCACCGATTTGAATCTCCTCTTCTGACAAGTACTTACTTAGCTGTGTGACCTGGTAAAGATGACTTCTCTAAGCATCATTTGCCTTATTTAAAAATGGAATGTGTACCTCCGGCTACTTGGAAGGCTGAGGCAGAAGGATCGCCTGAGCCCAGCAGGTCGATGCTGGGGTGGCCATCAGCGTGCCACTGCACTCCAGCCTGGGCGATGGAGTGAGACTCCAGCTCAAAAAAAAAAAGGGATGAAACAGTAGTTGACAGTAGTAAACAGCTTGGGCTCTAGAGTTGAACTGCCCAGCTCTACCACTTACTAGTTGTTTAAACTTGGGCAAATTTAATCTTTCTATAGTCTTCTCACCTATAAAACAGCAATTAACAACAGCATTTACCGGTCAGGCATGGTAGCTCATGCCTGTGATCCTACCACTTTGGGAGGCTGTGGCAGAACAATTGCTTGAGCCCAGGAGTTCAAGACCAGCCTAGGCAACATAGCAAGACCTTGTCTCTATTTAAAACAAAACAGTATTTACTTCATAGGATTTTCTGATAATTAAAGGAGATGATATGTGTGAAATTACCGGAGTATTTATTGGTTTATAGAAACCTCTCTATAAACATTAACTGTTACCTTTATTATTTTTCACAAAAAGACTGTTACACAAGGCTTACATAAGAAAGTATGTTTAACGCTTTCAGCATAATGCCTGCTATAGGTTAAGAGCTCATAATGGTGGCAACTATTACTATTACTGTCATCTTCGACTTTTGATTTAAGTTTCACCTACTAAAACCACAGAGATTTAAATCTTAAATCAGAATGCCCCTCAGATATTTAAAGAAACTCATCAAATTATTCCCCAGAATTCTCTTTTAAAAGCCAAACTATACAGAGACTCAAGAAAAAAAGTCTTCAACAAGTAGGCATGGTTCATACCTGATTAGCTTCATCTAGAGATGCCACAGCTTGTGGGCCTCTTAAAATATGGCATCTCCAAACATCAGGTATGATCTGACCAACAAGATTTCAATGGAACTACCAATTCCCAAGACCTATACACAGGTCGAGTATCTTTTAATTGAAATGCTTGGGGCCAGAATGTTTTAGATATTGGAATTTTTCCGATTTTGGAATATTTGCATTATATACTAACCAGTTCAGCATACCTAATCAAAACCAAAATGTTCCAATGAGCATTTCCTTTGGGAATCATGTCAGTACTCAAAAAGTTTTGGTTTCTGGAGCATTTCAGGTTTCAGCTTTTCAGATTAGGGATACTCAACCTGAATCTAGGCCAAGGATATAACTACTAGTTGTTATAACCAGGTACTCAGTCATTAATGTAATCTAAGTATGTTCTGGCATTTTCTGCAACTGCATCACACTGTCAAAAAGAGTAATAAGTGTCCAAGAACGAAAATACCCCAATCTCCTTTTTTCACTTGCTGCTACTAAACTTGATCTCTCCAACTTATATTACTCAATTTACCTCTTTTGTTTAAACCTAAACCTTTGTCTTTATCCCTCCTCAACTCTGTTTAAGGATATCTATTAGAGTTCTGAAATCTCTGCAATGAGTAGACCTACCTGAATTAGTTGCAATTTTCCACTGACTTTAATCATAGAGCATGGGGTACCAAAAATACTTTAGGGGCCCTCCTATAATCACAGACATATTCCAGTATGTGTAGTAGTGGCCCTATTTCCCGTTGATAGAATCAACAGAAAGTGGATAAATATTCCTATTATGTCTTTCACCATATCACGAATAATTTTTTTAATTTTTTTATTTTTTTAGAGATGAGGGTTCGCCAAGTTGCCCAGGTTGGTCTCGAATCCCTGGGTTCAAGCAATCCTCTCGCCTCAGCCTCCCAAAGTGCTGGGATTGTAAGCTTGAGCCACTGTGCCTGGTCTTATCAGAAATAATTTACTCAATATCTTCATCCAAGTTAACATGTGAATTTAGCTGTATACTCAAGAAAGAACGTGCAGCAAATTAATTATTGAAGTTCAGTGATGGGAACTGGGGGGCTCTTTATACTATTTTCTATGTTGCTTATGTTTGAAAATTTACACAATAAAAGATAAAAAAAGGATGCAAATATCAGAAGAAACAAAGAGTTAAATGTTCTTTTGGAGAGCAACACTAAGATACAAGGAAAACCTGGGCAGGGGACAATTTTCTGTTTAAGCTTTAATACTTTTTGGCATTTTAAATACATGCATATACCATTCTCATATAAAGAAAAAAAGAAGCACATCAAAGTCAACTCCTCCAAAAACCATCATTGGCACACACTGTTTTTAATAACACCAAATGAGGGAGGCCAGACGTGGTGGCTCATGCCTATAATCATAGTACTTTGGGAGACCAAGGTGAGAGGATTACCTGTACCCACAGGTTTGAGAGCAGCCTGGGCAACTTGGCAAGATCTCATCTCTACAATAAATCAAGAAAAATTAGCCAGGTATGGTGACACATGCCTGTAGTTCCAGCTACTTGGAAGGCTGAGGCAGAAGGATCACCTGAGCACAGCAGGTCGAAGCTGCAGTGGCCATGAGCTGCCACTGCCCTCCAGCCTGGGTGACAGAGTGAGACTTTGACTCAAAAATAATAATACTAATAATAGTATTAATATCACTAAATGACACTGCAATCAAATCAGAGACTTCATTTAGACAAAAAATATTTAATACACGGTGATAAAAAGTATGTATGTGTGTGTTTGTATCCATAAAGTATAATCTGCCTATATCTTAAACTGACTTTAGGCCTAAAATATTTTTTTTTAAAAAACTTTTAGAAAACAAATTGCCTGAAGATTGCCCAACTTGTTTTTGGTAATGATTAAGTACATTCAATTTTATCAGTCAAATGCTTTCCATATATGGGGGGAACCAATATAAGATTTAAAAATACAAAATATCTAAACACTTGGATTATGGCTGTTCATAAAACCTACTTGGTAAGTGACTGAGCTTTCTGTTGTAGGAAAGTATCCCTGTGTATTTTAATGGCTTGAAGACTTTTTCTGTCTAGAAGTTTGGCAGCTGCTGGTATTTTCTGGATCAGAAAATTATCAGGAAACCAAATAATATTAGCAGTTAGAGTGATGGCTGGTACCTGCAATAGTAAAAACAAGGGGGAAAAAATCATTAAATGGAGACTAAACAATAAGCTTCTTAACAGTTCTATAACACACGTGGAAGACAATTCATTTCAAGAAAAAAATAACCACAAAAAATACTCATCAGTATAGTACGAGACAAATATCTACTGTGGCAAAGTTAAAGCATTTCTATTGCTGGTGGTGAGTGTGACAATTTTATTCTGCCTAAAAATATATATTTTACATTTGATTCTTCCCTTTCTTTGAACAGAAATCCTTATAATCCCTCATACAGCTCTTTCTGGAACAAACTTTCCTCTTCTCCTCCAGCAAGCCCCAGTGGGTTTACCTTTAACGGGCTCTGGGACTAGGACAGGAAGCATTCTGCCTAAATTTAACAATTAAACAACACACATACAAACACCATCTCTCAGGTATCTTCACATGAATACAAATATGTAGGCCAGGTATGGTGGCCCATACCTGTAATACCAGCACTTGGGAGGCTGAAGTGGGAGGAATGCTTGAGCACAGGAGTTTAAGATCAGTCTGGGCAACACAGCAAGACATGGTCTCCACAAAAAAATAAAAATATGCAGGGTGCAGTGACACGCACCTATAGTCCCACCTATTTGAGAGGTTGAGGCAGAGGGATCGCTGGAGCCCAGGAGGTCAAGGCTACAGTGAGCCTTGATTGTGCCACTGCACTCCAGCTGGGCAACATAGTTAGCCTCTGACTCAAAAAAAAAAAAAAATTCAACAAGCAAATAGAAACTTGAATCCTTGCCTGTAGTTCCAGCTACTTGGAAGGCTGAGGCGGAAGGATTGCCGAAGCCCAGCGGGTCGAGGCTGCGGTGGCCGGGAGCAGCCACTGCACTCCAGTCTGGGCAACAGAGTGAGATTTCAACTCAAAAAAGAAAGAAACTTGAATCCTCAAGTTGTTAAAAAAAAAAAATTGTAAATAGCAAAATGGCTGGAATCTCATGGTCATATATCACTTGATGCTACACACACACTAAATTTTTCATTTTGAAATCAAGGTGCCATATCATGGAAATAGTAAAGATGTAGGGAAAAAAAATAATTTTAAAGTTTTTCTACTTCAATAATGAAAATCAGTGGCAAGAAGCAGCAGCAAAAAAGGAAGAAAGAAGAAAAAAGTATCTGAGTAGCACTAATAATTATGGTATAAGAAAAAGTCTGAACATCTAGCAATATGTCATAAAACATGAAATTACGGAGTATTTTCATTTTACTGTATTACCTATTCTCAGAATGCTTGAATTTTAAAAATACTATTAAATTATTTTTGTAAACAGGAATAAAATGCATTTTAAAAGATCTAGTTGTATCCAAAATCTTTTTTTTTTTTTTTTTTTTTGAGTTGGAGTCTCACTCTGTCCCCTAGACAGGAGTGCAGTGGCCGCTCCCAGCCACCGCAGCCTCGACCTGTTGGGCTCCGGCGATCCTTCCACCTCAGCCCTCCAAGTAGCAGGAACTACAGGCATGCACTACCACACCTGGCTAATTTTTGATTTACTGTAGAGATGAAGTCTTACCAAGTTGCCCAGGCGGGTCTGGAACCCGCGGGCTCAGGCAGTCCACTCACCTCAGCCTCCCAAAGTGCTGAGATTACAGGCTGAGCCACCGAGCCTGGCCAAAATCTTTTTAATCTACTCAAATTGGAAAATAAAATTTCCAAGTTCTTACCTTCTTACAAATGTCCAATAAAGACTTATAAAACTTCTTATCAATAGTTCGAAAAATTTGAAAGTGCAATACAAAGAGTCCACAAATTCCAACATATTTGTCTCTCTGGTCAATTTCAGAAGGTTCTCCTTATATAGCAATAGCATGGGATAAAAGCAGAACACGTGTTTAAATTATGTTTAAAGAAAATGCAAACTTTATAAACAAAAATCAAAAAATGCAATTTACATTACCAAGTTTGGCTTCCACATTTGCAAAAATTGAGCGAATACTATGTGCAAATTCTTCAGCAAAAGTGCTATTTTTTGACACAGATACTCCTCCGTTTAGTGAATCAAACTGTTGTTCTATACAGGCCTGAAGAGAAAACATTTACAGATAAATTTACACTCTCAAGAAAAAAATATTAAACATTTAAATATGGTAAACGATAAACTTCCATATTCATCATTTTAATTTTACTAGAACTGAAGCCCAGGTTCTTACCTTAATCTAATCTAATCTCTAAATCCTATGAATGTAGAACATGTATATATCTGAGTATGGCATGTGAAAGTATTAAAACTAACCCCAAATCTATAATCCTATATGAAGAGATACACAGAGTAATGCTCAGAGATGTATACTAGATGTATCTGACAAAGGACTGAAAAGTATATTTTTTATGTTACTTTGCACTTTAAGAGTTTATGTTTTCTGTTTGTTACATTGCCTTCCTAGCACTTTATTATAGCACATGTAGACATGTCTCCTGGGAAAGTATCTTCTGAATCTAATGGACTAATAGTTAAATTGATATACAGTAACCCTTGAACAATGTGGAGGTTAGGGGCACTGACCCCCACAAAATGAAAAATCTTCGTATAGCTTTTGACTCCCCCAAACGTAAACTATTAATAGCATATTGTTGACCAGAAGCCTTAGCAATAACATAAAGTCAATTAACACACAGACTAGTATCTACATATATTTTATGCATTCATGACATACCTAACTTTTTCTTAAGTGTTTGAACAGTCTAGGTTATGCAGTATGTCTGTATGTTTTCTCAAACTGTTGATAATCTCTGAAGAGTTTTCCAATATATTTACTGAAAAAAATCCACATATAAGTCAACCCATGCAGTTCAGACACAAGTTGTTCAAGAGTCAACTGTAAACAAGAGTCGGAAACAATCTATTAAAACTGTGATCGGCCCAGGAGTTCAAATCCAGCCTGGGCAACACAGTAAGAACCCTGTCTCTAAAAATTAAAATAAAATGTTAGAAAAAGTAAAAAAAAAAAAAAAAAAAGAGGGGTTAATGTAAATTATAAACTAAAGATAGATAACCTTAAAGCAGATTTTAAACAAAATATGATGCGATATCTGGTGGAAACTACCTACCCAAAGCAATACTGCCAACAGACTTTTCTGTGACAACAGAAATATTCTCCATCTGGGCTGTCTGATATGATGGCTAGCCATGACCTACATGTGGCTAGTAAGCACTTGAAATGTGGCTAGCATAACTAAGGAAGTGAACTGTTTACTTAACTTCAAATAATTTAAATTTAAATATCCACATGTGGTTAGATGCTACCATAAACTGAATTGTAAAGACCCAAATTTTATGCCCTGAGCCTAGGAAGGATTAAACAGATTTTTCAAAGGTAATATTACAAACCTAAACCTAGAGGTTAACAACAAGCACAACACAGGCATAAACAAATTAGCAATGCTTCAATTAAAATACAAAAGAGAAAAATAAATCACCCCTTGATCCATGGGCTGTAGAATGAATGTGATATTAGCAGGCATGACAACAGCATTAATCTTATACATCTCCACCAGAGCTCTTGGGTGACTAGGTGCATTGTCAATGAACAGAAACATTTTGAAAGGAATCTTTTTTCTGAGCAGGTCTCAACAGTGTGCTTAAAATATTTAGTAGACCTTGCTGTAAATAGAAGTGCTGTCATCTAGGTTTTGTTGTGTTATTTATGGAGCACAGGCAGAGTAGATTTAGCATAATGATTAAGGACCCTAAGATTTCCAGAACGATAAATGAGCACTGGCTTCAACTGAGTTACCAGCTGCATTAGCCCCTAACAAGAGAGTTAGCCTATCCTTTAAAGCCAGGCACTGGGTTCTCCTCTCCAGGTCTGAAAGTCCTAGATGGCATCTTCTTTCAAAAGAAGGCCGTTTCATCTACATTGAAAATCTGTTGTTTAGTGTGGTCACCTTCATCAATGATCTTTGTTAAATTTTCTGGATAACTTGCTGCAGCTTTTACATCAGTACTTATCACTTCACCCTACACCTTTATGTTATGGAGATGGCTTTTTCCTTAAACCTCATGGACCAACCTGTGTTAGCTTCAAACTTGTCTTCTGTAGCTTCCTTACCTCTCTGTGTTCATAAAATTGAAGAAAGTTAGGGCCTTGCTCTGGATTGGGCTTTGTCTTAAGCAAATGTTATGGCTGGTTTGATCAGTTCAGTCCACCAAAACTTTCTCCATATCAGCAATAAGGCTGTTTCACTTTCTTATCATTCAGTGTTCTCTGGAGTAGCACTTCAAATTTCTTTTAAGAACTTTTCCTTTGCAGTCACAACTTGGCTAATTAATCCAAGCAGCCTAGCTTTCAGCCTATCTCAGCTTTCAACATGCCTTCCCTGTAGAGTTAGTAAATGGCCTAATTTCAGTATTACTGTGTCTCAGAAAATTAACAATCCTGAGGAAAGTGCAAGGGATGGAACAACAGCTAGTTGACTAGTGGAGCAGTCAGAACACACACAATATTTGTCAATTAAAAGTTCACCATCAGCCTGGCATGGTGGCTCAAACCTGTAAACTCGGCACTTTGGGAGGCTGAGGTGAGGAGGACTGCCTGAGCCCAGGGGTTCAAGCCTAGCCTGGGCAACTTGGCGAGACCTCATCTCTACAATAAATCAAAAAATCAGCTGAGCATGGTAGCATGAGCCTGTATTTCCAGTTACATGTAAGGCTGAGGCGGAAGAATTGCCAGAAGCCAGCAGGTCAACGCTGGGGTGGCCATGAGCATACCACTGCACTCTTGCCTGAGCGACGGAGTGAGACTCCAACTCAAAAAAAAAAAAAAAAGAAAAAAGCTCATCATCTTACAGGGGTGCTGTTTGTGGCACTCCAAAAACCATTACAATACTAACATCAAAGATCACTAATCACCGTAACAGATACAACAAGAATGAAACAATTCAAAATATTGCAAAAACTGCCAAAATGTTACACAGAGGCAACTCATGCTGTTGGAAAAATGGCACTGAAAGACTTGCTTGACCCAGGGTTGCCATAAACCTTCAATTTGCAAAAAACGCATTTGGGAAGCACAATAAAGCAGAGAGCAAAAAAACACAAAGTATGCCTGTACCTAACACAACTACTTAGAACTCTTTAACATTTTTTAAACCCTCACTACAAATACAACTAGTACACTATTAATTTATTTGCTACTAGATACTGAAGTAACTGTGCTTTAGTACACTAACAATGATTTTAAGCCAATGCACTTTTTTTTTTTTTTTTAGTTGGAATCTCACTTCATCACCCAGGCTGGAGTGCAGTAGCATGCTCACGATCACCCAGCGTCAACCTGCTGGGCTCCAGCGATCCTTCCGCCTCAGCCTTCCAAGTAGCCAGAACTGCAGGTGCGGGGTACCACGTCTGGCTAATTTTTGATTTATTGTAGAGATGAGGTCTCGTCAAGTCGCCCGGGTTGGTCTCGAAACCACGGGCTCAGGCAACCCACTTACCTCGGCCTCCCAAAGTGCTGGGATTACAGGCTGAGCCACCAAGCCCGACCACCAAAGCACTTTTTAGAGAAAAACATATTCAGTGGTATACTGTTAAAGCGTCCTACTATAAATCCGAACTGTGCATCTAATGTAAGTGCAATTGTTTCAGCCTGATACAGCCCGACTTACCTGAAATATCATTCCATCAAGCAACTGCCCTTCTAGCTTCAGCAAGAACTTTTCAAATGGCTTTAGTTTTTCTTCCTGAATTCCAAATTTTGAAGGATTGTGATGGACAGATTTCAGTAACCTTGAGGACAATTAAGAGAAAGATCTTAAAGCTACCTAATTAAAAATTTTCCTGAAAATCAAAATTTTATACTTATAATTCTTTTTTTTTTTGAATCAGAGTCTCACTCTGTTGCCCAGGCTAGAGTGCAGTGGCAGGCTCACAGTCACTGTAGCCTCGACCCGCTGGGTTCAGGTGATCCTTCCACCTCAGCCTTCCAAGTAGCTGGAACCACAGAAGAGCACCACCACACCTGGCTAAATTTTTGACTTACTGTAGAGACAAGATCTCGTCATGTTGCCCAAGCTGGCCTCAAACTCATGGGCTCAGCAATCCTCTCACCTCCGCCTCCCAAAGTACTGGGATTACAGGTGTGAGCCACCATGCCTGGCATCTGTGACTCTTGTTTGGCTCTACACATTTGAAAATTTGAGACAATCCTAATATATTTAATTTTCTTATGCTCTTTTTTTTTCCATCTTAAATTCAGATGCCTCATGCTTTCTATATATCAGACATTTAGTGAATATTTAGAAATTGAATAAAATAAAATGCCTTGACCTAGGCCAGGCATGGTAGCTCACACCTCTAATCCCAGCACACTGGAAGACCAAGGTGGGAGGGATCACTTGAGGCCAGAAGTTGGAGACCAACCTAGGCAACAAACATAGTAAGACCTCATTTCTACAAAATATAAAATAGTCAGGCATGGTAGTAGGCACCTGTAGTCCCAGTTACTTGGGAGGCTGAGGCGAGAAGATTGCTTGAGCCCAGGAGTCGAGGTTGCAGTGAGCTGTGATCATGCCACTATACTCCAACCCAGGCAACAGAGTGAAACCCTGACTCCAAAAAAAAAAAAATAAGATGCCTTGATCTAAAAAAGTTTTAGAACATGTAATAAAATGAACCCAAGGTCAGGGAAAAAACTGTCACTTAATAGAACCCAAAGGAAAAAAATAAATCTGAGTCCTAAGGTAGGCAAATTAACATTCTATTATACTTTAAGAATTAAGACTTAGGATGTTTTATACAGGTGTATCATAACACTCCAATAAACCCATCTGAAATTAAAGAATGGTTACTGTCTTCATGAAAATATTTGATATGAGCTCCTGCTAAATATCAATCTCCTGGTCTTTATTAAAGATCTGTATTATTTATATGTGTTTGCTATTTACTAATACAAATACATTAACTATACAAGAGAATATTTAAACATATTTTAATTGGTGTACCTTTTGTACATAGTCCAGTGGTCTTTCAGTGTGATATGATTATCAATAATTTCATCCAGGGTGAGCAAAACTGTTAGTAGTTCTCCCAAGTGCTCATACATAGTCTGTCAAAAAACCTTTAATGATTATCATTTAGTCACTAGTTAGAAGTTAAGCCTCAGGTAAATTTTTAAAGTAAAATACATTTGGGCTAATTACTGAATTACTAAAGCAGTGGGTAAGACAGTTTATTAAGTTACAGGTTTGAATCTCAGATGGGACTATTAGTCTTAAACAGAGAACACTTTTCTCTATTTAAGATGAACAAGACATCACCCTTAACTGTAATGTTACAGATTTGTTTCACTGCCCAAAGAGACCATTTAGAGAATCTGCATTTGGCCACTACTGGGAAAAACTAAGAGTTACACTGACAATGCGTCAATGATGCCTCATCACCTTCACAGATGAAAGAACAAATGCAACAAAAACACCTTTAAGAGTCTTGCTATAATTGTTATATTCTCCAATCACACAAACTCCAAAGTAAGCTATAGTAAAAATTACAGTTTTGGAGGTCAAGTTAAATGACTTTTACCTGAAAATGAACTCCAGTTGTCTCTATAATTTTGGGTGCAATCCTGTAATTAAAACACTCAAGGTTAAAAAAATGCCTTTTTCTGTTATAGCTCATTCATATTTCAAGGAATATACATAGGAAAAGTTCTTGGAATTTTATTTAATACATATTTAACTTTATTGAAGCTTCAATTATCAAAATTTAAGAGATCCAAGGTCACTTTCCCAAGAAGGGAACTACCTTGTACGCACAGAGTCTGAGCTCATGAGTAGGGATTTAACAGTATGTGGCCCATGAATAACCTCAGCCAATTAAACTAAAAAATCTAACTTGGGATGAAGGTAGAGAAATTTTTGAAAACCGATTATTCCTGTCTTTCTAAACTACTAGATTTTCTCAATAAGCAACTAGAACTGTGTTATCCTACTCAAACTGGTCTTTGGGTAGTTCCCTCTTCAGTCAGGGTCATTTCTCAGTTCTCATCCCTACTGAAAACCTATGTATACTACAAGGATTAAACCAAAGTCAAAAGCCACAGAAAAATTTAATTCTGCTTCCTAGGTATTCAATTTACTCAGCAATAAATAACTTAAAATAGTACTTATATATCAAAGCAATACAGATACTCCACAAGATAGAATACATTTTTAAAATTAGACGCAAAATTCAAAGAAATGTCATCCTTCAGGAAAGCAAGGGAGGGATGAGAAGGAGTCTTCTGAGAATTACACACCAGGAACTGCAGAGGGTGGGGGAGCTATGCTCTCATTCTCTCCTGCCATGAGGAGGGCTTTAGTGAAAAGACAGAATAATAAAATAAAATAAATACCTAGCTGAGGAGAAAAACATGAGAAACAGCTAACTCAGTCCTCCAATTTATAGAGAAAGTTAAGATGCAGCATGGTATAGTAAGAACAATGAATGAACTGGTGACCAAAAGAATAGTGCCAAAATTGCTAGGAAATCTTGGCAAATAATTCTTCTGGTCCTCAGTTATCTTTTCTCATCATTAACAATCCCTAATCATTTACTTAAACAAAGCCATTGCAAACATATAACTAAATAGTAAATGTGAGGCCTGGCACGGTGGCTCAAGCCTGTAATCTCAGCACTTTGGGAGGCCAAAGTGAGAGGATTACCTGAGTCCATGGGTTCGAGCCCAGCCTGGGTGACTTGGTGAGACCTTGTCTCTACAATAAATCAAAAAATTAGCTGGGCATAGTGGCACATACCTATAGTTCCAGCTACTTGGAAGGTTGAGGCAGAAAGATCACCTGAGCCCAGCAGGACGAAGCTGCAGTGGCCATAAGTGTGCCACTGCACTCCAGCCTGGGCAACAGAGTGAGACTCCAACTCAAAAAAAAAAAAAAAATCGTAAATGTAAAAATTGTAAGTATAAAGAATTAATCACATATGAATACTCTATGTTAAGAAGAGAAAGGGCTCTATGTAAATTTGATTATTCTTGATTTTAGCGAGGTCCAGCAACAGCCAGGCAGTGCCATCTCTTCAGAGTTGTCAACACCAATTCTGTGAGGCTCCTTTTCCAAACTCCCAGATCATGGCAGTCCCAATCTTTCCCTTCAACTTCCTGGATGTAACATGTTATCTGCTTTCCCTGGTCTACCTCATTGTTCTCTCTGTCCAACTCCTGTGTAAACAATTCTCCATATGAAATTCTCTCTTTTTAAGATCATTAGAATTACTCACAAAATTTTTCAATGTAGATTCCCTAGCTCCATTCACCAAGATTTTGTATTTTAAGAAACCTCTCATGTGACTCTAATGCGTCAGAGAACCATTAATATAGTGAGGAAAAGAAAAGAAAGAAAGAACATGGTATATATACTATTTCCATAGTAGCCTTTTTCTATATGTTCTAGTTTAAGATTTTCTGGTAGACACTCTCATTCAGACAGATTATGAGTACATTCACCACGGTAGAAATCGTGTCTTACTAATCTATGTATTACACACAAGTAGTGTTTAAGTCATCCTAAGTGTTCAAAGAATGTTGAATAAGTGAGTAAACAAAAAAACTATTTCAGGTAATTAATGTTAAAAAAAAATTCCTACATCTCTAGTATAAAAGCAAAAATATTTTTTAAATTCATTACTTGTTACTGATGTAGAGGGCAGCCAACTGATGGACTACATTCATCACTACTTCATAGCACCTTGTAACAAAACAAGACAGTTCCTGAAATGACAAGATGAGTATATGTTACATAGTTGCTTTATAAATGTCACCATTTTTTATTGAATTTTATGGTAACAATTCTAACAAAAACAAGATAATTTTCCAGAAAATTTCCAGTTAACCAGCAGTCATACAACTCGAAGCATCACTCAAACAATCAATACTTAAATCACCTCATCTCCTAGAATCATTCTTATCTCTTTGCTCTCACTGCATTTCATTCAAATTTCAAGTCTAATGTTTTAGTTACTCATACAACTCCTAAATGATATGGGTGTCTCATTCTGTCTTTGAATATCCACTATCTTGCATGGTAGCTAACACTTGATTGTTTCTCAACAAAGTTCTGCCCTTTTAAATGAATAAATGAATGAGCATCTGAATGAATGAGCTCAAAAGCTGCCAGTTTAGAAAGTATGATGATGAGAGGAAGGGGTTTCTACAAGTCACTGTAAAATAGCATCACCTGTAATCCTATCTATAATAAGGCTTGACACACAACTAGTGAAATATCACTTATCCCAGGGATATGTCTGTCATCAAATAACTAATAATAGTTACATCTACCATGTCCCAGATCTAAAATTTTGTTTTCAGAAGCTCTTATCTTTTAAACCTATAGAAAGTTTGTTTCTAAAAGTATTTAAGCCCTAATTAAACCTGCAGATGTTCTCAATGTTAAGCTCTATGAGGGCAAGAATTTCTGCTAATTTTACGCACCGCCATATCTCCAACACCAAGAATAGTTTCTAGCATATGCTAAACTCTTAAAACACACTTATTGAATGGTTAAAAATGAAACTTTTTGGCTGGGCTCAGTGAGCTCAGCCTGTAATTCCAGCACTCTGGAAGGTTGAGGCAAGTGGACTGCCTGAGCCCGTGGATTCGAGACCCACCTGGGTCACTTGGCAAGACCTCTTCTCTACAATAAATCAAAAATTAGCTGGATGTAGAAGCGTGCCTATAGTTCCGGCTACTTGGAAGGCTGAGGTGGAAGGATCACCGAAGCCCCACAGGTTGAGGCTGCAGTGGCCGGGAGCACACCACTACACTCCAGTCTGGGCGACAGAGTGAGACCTTCAACTCAAAAAAATAAAAAATAAAATAAATTTTTATGTAGCTGTCAGTGAGATCCAAAAACAATTCAAAGTTTTTGAAAATGAAAATAATGCAGTTTAATTTTACTTAAACAGTTCTAGTTTTATATTTCTTATTAAACTTCTAAAAGTTTAATAAAGCAGATAAAGAACAGAAAATGCAGGACAAATAGAAAGCACAAATGAAAAAGGCAGAAACAAGCCCAGATATATAAGCAGTTCATACAAAATGTACACAGAAATAGAATGAACCAATTAAAGACGAGATTGTCAGCAAAATCCAGATATATGCAGTTTTACATAAACCAACTAAAACATGACACAAAGGTTGAAAGAAGCCAGGCGTGGTGGCTCATGTCTATTATTCCAGCACTTTGAGAAGCAGTGAGACGACTGCTTGAGTTCAAGACCAGCCTAGGCAACTCGGTGAGACCATGTCTCTACAATAAATCAAAAAATTAGCTGGGCATGGCAGTGCACACCTATAGTTCCGGCTACTTGGAAGGCTGAGGTGGAAGGATCGCCTGAGCCCAGAAGGTCGAGGCCTGGGCGACAGAGTGAAAAAAAAAAAAAGTTTGAAAGAATGGAAAAAGACAAATCAAGAAAATATTAGATGAAACAGAGCTAGGGCAGCATTATTATCAGACAAAATAGACTTTGGTAGCATCACCTATAGCAAATTACTACATATATAATAACTATTTACACAACTATATATTATCTACATAATTATGATTATAGCTAAAGAGGGTCACCACATCGTGATAAAAGATTCGACTTAGCAGAATGATGAACAATTCTAAACTTGTATGCATCAAATAAAATATCCTCACAATAAAAAATGCAAATTTTGCACATTTACTGGGACGCTGCAACCATATTTCTTATGCCTTGATGAGCAGGAAACCAGCAGCAGCCAGGCAGTGACACCTCCTCAGAGGATGAGCACCAATTCCACTGGACTTCTTCAAGCACCCAGATTTTTTTTTTTTTTTTTTTTTTTGAGTTGGAGTCTCACTCTGTCGCGCAGACTGGAGGGTAGAGGCCACTTCCGGCCACCGCAGCCTCGACCTGCTGGGCTCTGGCGATCCTTCCGCCTCGGCCTTCCAAGTAGCCGGAACTACAAGCACGCGCTACCATGCCCGGCTAATTTTTAATTTATTGTAGAGATGAGGTCTCGCCAAATTGCCCAGGCGGGTCTCAATCCCGCGGGCTCAGGCAATCCACTCACCTCAGCCTCCCAAAGCATGGGATTACAGGCTGAGCCACTGAGCCCAGCTCAAGTGCCCAGATTCTGGCATCCCCAATCTCTTCCTCTTTGTCCCCTGGATGTAGAAGTGGTATCTGTTTCCTAGGACTACATCATTGTTCTTCTTGTCGTTTCAGCCCTCCATCTTCTGTGTAAACAATTCTCTATATTAAACCCCCTCTTTTTAAAATTTAAATAAATTTTACTATGTATATTTAAGATATATGACATGGTATTATGGGACACATATAGTGAATTAAAAGGTTACTACAGTGAAGGACACTAATGTATCCATTATCTCACAAAGTTAACTTTTTTATTATTTTTGTGGCAAAAGCGACTAAAAATCTACTCATTTAGCATGAATCCCATGTACAGTACAATTGTATAACATGCAGTCATATTGTACATTAGATCTCAACATTTATTCATCCCACATATCTGCTACTTTGTATCCTACGACCTATATCTTTTGAAATATCTCATATGATTTATTTACAGACAGAACCCTAAATAACACATATCATTACATCAGTATCAACAAAATGCTTTCAGTTAGGTCAGGTAGACCAAACAAACAAAAAAAAAGGATACATACAAGATTTGAACAATATGTTAAATGCTTGATTTGATGAAATATATCAAATCTTGTACCCAACAATCATAGGAGGTGGCCATATGAGTATTTTTTCCTTTATCGCTAACATTTGCTTTTTTCACATGGTACGTGTATTGTTTTTATAATAAGGAAAGAAATAGAAGCTATTTCATTCTTTTGATAAAACTAAACCAAAAACGTAGACTCCACTCAAACTTTGCAGTGAAGAAAAGCATATCTACATGCTGCTAGAAGTATCAAGCGTTACTGCTTTTAACAACCTCATCCTGGCTGACATAACAGCTTAACCCACTCCCATAACAACTTTTCCTGGCATAAACTGCCTTTTCCCACTGAGTACAAGTTTAAATTATTATTATTATTTTTAGTTTAAATTATTTTAAAAGGCATAGTGAAAAACTGTCCATAAATGACAATATAAAAAGAAACTTATTTTGATACCTTGTTCTCCTAAAAATGCTTGGAAATGTTTTAGGAGTTATGATCTCCTAAACTATAATCCAGTGCTGTCTTATCCTTAGAGTACCATATCCTTAGTACTTGCAGGTTCCAGAACTTCTTAAATCATGTAAGAAATTCTCAAACTTTCTTCTCAAACTTTTCAAAAAAAAAGAAATCAATAGAAAGTAAAAATTGGTTACCTGTAAGAATGAAATAAATCTCCCCATCTGAATTTGGCAATCACCTTCCACCATACTGGAATCTGTAGCTTTAAAAGGCAACACAAAGAATCATATTTGAATTTTTAAATTTAAACTCAATCAACACTAGAAAAAAAAGAGATTTATTTTCATTAGGATATCTTCTAATCTGCATACTATTGAAATCACAGAATTTTTACACCAATGAGACAATCATTAATCGCATAATTAAAAGTAGTCATGTACCTCACTATTTTATGAATTCAAGGAAAATTCTCATCTAGCTCTTGGTACTTTGTAACTTATAAAAATACCACAAGTCCAGCCTAAGCAACTTGGCGAGACCTCATCTCTTCAATAAATAAAAAAAAAAAATTAGCTGGGTGTGGTGGCTCATGCCTGTGGTTCCAGCTACTTGGAAGGCTGAGGCGGAAGGATCACCTGAGCCCGGCAGGTCGGGGCTGCGGTGGCCATGAGCATGCCACTGCACTCCAGCCTGGGTGACAAAGTGAGACTCTAACCCCTCCTCGCAAAAATACCACAAATCAACTTCAGAAAATTTGCTGCTGCTTTATCCACTCAGGTTTTTGTTTTTTGTTTTCTTAACCTGTTACCAAACAAATAAACTAACAAAAAATTTGAATGCTTATTTTTTCACTCTAATATATTATGTAATGATAGCCCTCAAATTATCTGTTAACTTTTTGTTCATTTCAGTCTCAAAAAAGGCATCACCACACTACAAGTTTGAATTTTAAAACTTACCTCCTTCTCCATAAAACAACAGACCATTGTAAAATTTAGTTTCAGCCTGTTTAAAAAAAAATTAAAATAATGTTATTGTTTTCAAATTCTTATGCTCTCTTAGTTCTCTATATTTAATGACAAACAAAGAACTACAACACTGATATACATTTTCATTTACATTCAAGAACTGCTTATAAGTAAATTCAATTTACCTTTGGATTAATAAAAATATTACTGATACTCAAAGCTATATCTTGATCCCTTTAGCCTTTATTTTATCTGACCACTCTTATTGTCCCATATCTTCCCATTAGTCTACGAAAAATAAAGACAACTACATAGCAGCAAAACGAGAGAGAAAAAAAGATGAAGTCTGCCAGCTTCACCCAGAGTTTTAATGGCTCTTGGATGAGGAAACACAAAATTAAAGGCATATTAAAGATTGAAAGCTTTTAAAAAAAAATCAGTTGTATCTAGACAGACAGTAACACAGATAACAGGTACACATATCTTGAAGGTTTGCAAACCTAGATTCAAAGTGTTACTACAAGTAAAATGTTAGGCAAGTATAACCCTCTTTAAGCCTTAGTTTCCTCATCTATTCCTCACCTAACTCCCTGGGTTGTTATAAGGATTACCAGTGTTAACCACATACTAAGTACTTGATGAATGAGAGTCAATATTACTATTACTTTAAATAATTAATCTACATTCAATAAACATTTATTGTACACTTTACATAAACATTTGCTTTTAAATGATTTATTTTTAAAGTTTTCAGGCAAGAATACAAATAATTACCTCATATTTTAATTTCTTGATTTCACAACAAAGTGCAGCATAAACAGTGATGACTTTGTTTAAGACCTAGTTTCATAAGTAAAAACAAAATAAAAAGTAAATTATAACAGATAATGAAAGCATTTTTAAAAATATACGTTTGAGGTTTAGGATTCTGTACCTTGTTTTCAGTTTTTATAAGTTCCAAAAGAGAAGACTGTTCATAAGGCAAAAGCTATAGAAAAAGAAGAAAAGAATATTTCTTTTTAATTTGAAAAAAAATCACTGAAAGTACACAAATTAGGCTAGCCTTAAAAACACTATGCTAAGTGAAAGAAGCTAGCCAAAAAGAACTACATTTTGTATGATTTCATTTATACGAAAGGTAAGAAGAGACAAATTCATAAAGCCATAAAGACTGACTGATGGTTGCCTAGGGTTAATGGCATGGCTAGCATGGATAGGGCTGACTACTAATGAGTACAGGATTTCTTTTTGGGGTGGTAAAAATGTTCTAAAATTGACTGTCACAGTGGTTACATAACTCTGTGAATATACTAAAAACCACTGAATTATACAATTTAAATGGATGAATTGTATGATATGTCAGTTATATTTCAAGAAAGCTGTTATTTTTAAAAAGTCATATGTGACTTAGGACAGTGTCTAGTACATAATAAGTGTTCAAAATATTATTTAAGTGATAACAAACTAGTTTCACTATCCCAAAATGGAACAAAGAATGACCTGTTTTATACATTAAAAAATTACTCATACATTAAGATCCCCCATATAGCATAATGAAACTTTTTTGGGAAATGATGTAAATACTGTATTCTCTATCTTGACTGGGATAAAAGTTACATGTGTTTGGCAAAACTCACTGAACAGTATTCTTAAAATCTGTGCATTTCACTGCATGTAAAATAATCCCAAGAATAAAAAAAGCCTAGGCCAGGCACAGTGACTCACACCTATAATCCCAGCACTTTAGAGGTGAGAGGATTGCCTGAGCCCATGAGTTTAAGACCAGTCTGGGAACTTGGCAGAACCTCATCTCTACAACAGATCAAAAAATTAGCCAGCCTGGTGGCTAGCACCTGTAGTTCAAGCTACTTGGAAGGCTGAGGTAGAAGGATCACCCCACTGAACTCCAGCCTGTGTGCCAGAATGAGAACCCAACTCAAAATAAAATAAAGAATAAACAAAGTCTGAATATTCCATCCAGCTCTCTTTGTTTTCTTAATGATGAAAAACAAAAGCTAGTTCAAAGAGCTGGAGTTTGTGTCATTCTTTGATACAAAAGGCTTTATGCCATTCTTTAAAAAAATTATTTTTTTAATCTGCATGGCTTAGAGAAAAGAAAATTAACAATTTTCTCCAAGTTTCTTTTCATTCTTAGGTTTCAAATTAAAATACATTTTTAATTTTTAAAAATTACGTTTTCATGATATAGTATATCCTGAAAATACATAAAGACAAAATAAAACAGATCAAACCTTTAGTGCTATAGGGTCAAGATTGAAATCCCAAACATCTCCAATTGAATCATCCAATGCGTCCTCAATTCTTCTCAATTGAGATGCATACTCCTCAAGAAATTTTCCGTAATTCTTGAGCTGGACTTCAGCATGAATTTCTAAGTTTAAATTTGAAAACAGTATGTGGTAAGTAATGAATTACAGGACATTTACTTCAAATAACCTCGAAAGTCACAGCAAAGCACTGTTAATTATTACTTTGGAATGTGTGAACGTCTTGAAAATAAAGTTACAAAGTTAAACAATAGTTCAGCTTTCAATTCCAATGTGCATAATTTTAAAAGGTGTTACCATATACAAAGATATCATCTTAAAACTTTAAAGTATTATGAAAAAGTCACTAGCCCACATACTCCATAAGCAACAGTTTTAACCAATCTGAATAATGCCTCAGAACTCAATGTCCTGATTTGATGTTTTAGTCATAAACAACTCTTCCACAAAAAATAAACAGTCGTGACCTGAAACAGATGCAAAAATCTGTGTTGTCCCAGAATCAGTATTTTAGGATGTAATTTTTAATTCTCTGCCCAGTAACTTAATGTTTAAAAATATGTCTAAATATTCCTGTAATGTCTAAAATTTAACTAAGATATTTTTTGTTACTTTAACTGTCATAATCCAGTTGGATAAGCCAGTAAAAAAACATTGGTTGAATACAGAATATCGTGCTGGTATTCACAGAATTTACACACTAATAGATGCCTTTAAGGAGTCATTGAAATAACTGAATTTTAAAAACATGTTTATTTGCCAAAATTAGTGAAAGTAACTATTTCACCTTATACATAAAAATTTAATTACTTGGGGTCGGGTGCAGAGGCTCACGCCTGTAATCCCAGCACTCTGGAGGCCAAGGCAAGAGGACTGCATGAACCCAGGGGTTCGAGACCAGCCCGGGCAATTTGATGAGACCTCATCTCTACAATAAATCAAAAATAGCCAGGTGTGGTAGCATGCGCCTATAGTTCCAGCTACTTGGAAGCCTGAGGCAGAAGGATCGCCTGAGCACAGAAGGTCAAGGCTGCGGTGGCTGTGAGCGTGCCACTGAACTCCAGCCTGGGCGACAGAGAGAGACTCTAACGCAAAAAAAAAAAAAAAAAAAATTCAATTACTTATTCTCCAAAGGTAGCAAATTCAGCTCCAACTCAGTTTCTTGTATTGATGTGAATAACTTTATTCAATACGTGTCCTCTAAAAAAGGTAGAAATTTTCTCTCCTCAAATTGGCAGTGTGAAGCAACTAAGATAAAGTGTGTTCTGACTCATGCATTACTAAAGTATGAAGACCTAGCTCCCTTATTCTTTATTCTGAAACTACATAATGCTTTGAATCAGGTGAATCAATTTAGTTCATTAAGGTTACTATCTCATTATAGCATTAATCTAGGCAATTTTGGAAAACAATTAGTCTAGCTATGACTCACAGTCCAAAAATTAATGAAAACCAGGCACAGAGATCGCTTCCCTACAGCTTACATATAAAAACTGCATAGATTCTCAGAACTCCAAATAGATGTCTATTCTGCTATATGGGAAATGAGCAGTCACAAAAGTTGCATTTGACCAGCAAATGAGTTAAGATAATGCTAGAAAAACATAAATTAGAAAAACGAATCACTCATGTAGTCTTAGGGATTCACAAGGAAGGAGCAACAGAAAACCTGTAATAACATTAAAAGTTCCTTGCTGATAGATAAACAACTGTTGTAAAATTGGTAAAAGGGGATCTGAGAAAAGAACCGCATGGTAATTCTCCAAGAGTAAAATTCCAAAAACCTATTTAACATGCTCATCTTTTTCAACAGACGGCATTCCTCATTTTTTTGTATCCCTAATACCTAGCAAAGCTACTAGGATGTAGAAATTGTCTGCTGAGCGAATCAAATCATTCTACTCTAAGGTGAACCATTTTCAAAACCAATAACATAAGCTTCGTTCCAATTTTTTGAAGATACCAGAATAGGCAACCTTTGTTCATAAAACTGTGTACAACACAAGATGCAGTTCACCTTATAGACAGCAGAGACAGAATCCTCTCCACAAAAAATTTAAAGATTTTATCATCCCCTCCAAGATTAATTTTCATGCTGCACAGGAGTTAGTATTTTATGGAATGTTTTGTAAAAACTACAAACCACCCTGGTTGCAGTTCACCCTTCTCTGAGGGGCTACTAAAAACCATTGACATCTAAGTTTGTAGACATTAGTCTCTGTATAATCAAGCAAAATTCATCTACAATTTTCTAAAATGACATTCCACCTTTTAGGAAAACTATGCAGAAAAAAACAAATTCACCAAGAGCATGCTCCAATTTCTCTAAGACCACGTACACAGATTAATATCACCAAAGATAAGAAACAGACTGCCGACTTGCGATAATTTCAACCAGAGTTTCACGAAAATAATCAGTTTAGCCTCCACAATTTACTGAGAGAAACGGAATTCGTTACTCTTTTTGGTTGGACTTCTAAGTTAAAAATCAGACGATTCGGTTCTATGAAGCAAAACAGGATGCAGCTTTGCTGTCATGTTTCAAACCTTTGCAGCTGCGACGTAAACGAGAGGACATCCCTGAAAAATACCACTCAACATAATAAATAAAAGGCCTGGAAAGGGTAGGTAAGATGACATTCACGTGTTTATCGTCGCCGTGTGACATGTTCTTTTCTCGCTACCTTGCATGGTCATTGTAAGACGGTGATGGAAAAAACACCCAAACTTCCAAAAGTTGGTCTGGGAGGGAAAGAAGAAAAACAGGAAACCGAAACAGGAACCCAGGCATCGGCCTCGTCTAGGTCTTCCTTCCACAACGGAACGCTCTGAGGCTCCGGCGAAAACCCCCAGAGGCCAGAGGCAGGAGCCG